TTAACAGCACTTGAAAAACAGAAGGTACAAAAAGATCACTTTGACCTTGCTATTGTTTCTTAAAAGTAAAAGATGAAATTCCCAAGTGAAAGATGCCCTCCCTATACTAGAAAGATGCAACACCCTTATCCTCAAGGACGGAAAGTAGAAACCAAGAGAATTCTGTACAGATTATGGTAAACTAACTCTTAAGTTTTAAGCCTTGCCACATAATTTAGTTGCATCTTCACAATTTCCCGTTCTTTGTCCAATCCAGTATATAAATGACACTAACTGCTTCTTTGGGCTTTCATATTTTACAAGGGCAGTTGTTCCACATAAAACTTATATTAAATAAATTTGTAAGCTTTTCTCTTGTTAATCTATCTTTAATTCTCAAACCCAGTCAGGAGTCTAAAAGGATGGAGGTGGGGTTTCTGATCCCTTGATAATACATACATATATCTATAAAAAGGAACAAAATATTGATACACACTACAACTTCGGTGAACTTCGAGAATATTACACTAAATGAAAAAAGCCAGACACAAAAGGCCATATATTGTACGACTCGTTTTATGTGACATATCCAGAACAGGGAAATGCAGAGACAGAAAGTAGATTAGAGAATACCAGAGGATGGAGTAGGAGTTAAGAGTGACTGCTTAATGAGCATGGAGTGTTTTACGGGGTCAGGAAAAAGCTTTGAAACTAGAAAGCACTGGTAGTTGTACAACATTGTAAATTCACTAAGTACCACTAAATTGTACATTTTAAAATAGTTAATTATATGCTATATGACTTTCACCTCAATAATAAAAAAGGTTTTAATCATTAAAAATTTTCTTCATCAAATTTTTAGGATCACAACTTATGTTTTGTATTCAAACTTAAGTGGACATATAGGAGTAACATGTATCGGGTGTCGGGAGGGTGGGAGGGGGTAGGAGGGGATGGGTGTATACAACCACAACAAGTAAGATGTGCAACGTTTGGGGGATGGACACGCTTGAAGCTCTTACTCGAGGGGGGAGGGGGGCATGGGCAATATATGTAACCTTAACACTTGTACCCCCATAATATGCCAAAATAAAAATAAATAAAAAAAAGAAAAAACTTCAGTTCTATATTCATTCCAGCCATTGATATATTTGTTTTAATTACTTTTTATACCTTTATTGAGGTACAGTTCACATATAATATATTTGCCCATTTTTAAATGCACATTTTGGTGGGCGTTGATAAATATATCGAGCCTAGCACCACCCCCACAATCACATTTTAAAAAGCATAAAACACCTCCAAAAGTTCTTTCATGTCTATTAAATTTCTGAGTAATTTATCATGTTAAGTTTGTCCATTTACAAATTAGGTCACTAAATTGTTTTCCTTTTTCAGCTATTATAAATAAAGATGCTACAAATGTTCCCATTTAACACTTCCACATGGACATATGATTTCCTTTCTTTTCAGTAGATACTGCTGGATAGAATTGTTTAATTTTATGTTTAACTTTTTAAGAAACTGCCAAATTTTTTCCAAAGTGACTGAACCATTTTTTATTCCCACCAATAATGTCTGAGAGTTCCAGACCAATAGTAAGTATTGTGACTCTTTTTAATGATAGTTATTCTAGTGACTACGTAGTAATTTCTTTGCAGCTTTAATTTAAATTTCTCTAATGACTAATCATGCTGAGCATCTTTTCATGTTTTTATTAAAAACTTTGTATATATCTTCTTTTGAGAATTTTTGCCCATGTTAATGAGTTTTTGTCTTCTTCTTGAGTTTTAAGAGCACTTTAAATATCCCAAATACAAGTCCTTTGTAGATATTTGTTTTAGAAATATTTCCTCCCACTTTGTGGCTTGCTTCAACATTTAATTAACATTAACTTTTGATGAGCAAAGTTTATAATTTTTTCCCCCAAAATTTCCAAAATTCTTTAATTGATAAGCTTAATGCTCAGCAACTTATGTTAAAAGCACACATCAAAACACAGCAACCTCACACTGGCCAAAGGTAAAAAGGCTATGGAACAGAAATGCTATGCACTAATTTGACAAAATAGAAGAGTCATGTCTGTTTTTCATTCTCTAGTATGATTTCTCTTGCAATCGCTAGATTTGAGTGGTAATTTAGAGGTTAAGTGTCATCTAATACCAAAGTGACAATATAGCTAGGAAAGACCAATGCTGGGTGAAGTCCTTCCTCTATACTGTTCCATGGGCTTTTTAATTCAGTTGTTTCTATTTAAAAGGACAGATATAAAAAAACAGGTTATCCCAAACAATTCTGTGAAAGTAGAGACAGGTTAAAAAGATTTAAGAAGGGGAAACAGGGAAGGGAAGCTTCCTGGGCATGACACCATTTGCAAGATCACAAGGAACACGCCAGTGGAGTGCAGATCTTTTCTTCTTAGTTGGTACTAGGTGATTTTTTGGAACACATATGTGCTGAGGGTTGGATTGGTGTTCTGCTAAGACAAAGCATCTGCTCTTGGATCCCCCAGTGTAATTCCTTCCTGTGATCTTTACCAGATAATCACATTGAGTCCAAGTCTTGTTTGTACCCAAAATATGGGGCTACCTTGTCTACCTTGCCCTCGTTTTGGCTTAACTGGACCGGACTTCAGAGAATAAAGGACATAGGTCTGCTGGCCACAATGGAGTCTTGTTCATGAGCTGGAGGCCCAATCCTTTTCTTCGTATAGATAGCAAATAAACTGACCTTGAGAAATACCTTGGCATTCATGTGGTAGATTAAATTTTTGTGAAATATCAATTGGGGATTCCCTGTCTTTCTGGAACTGCAGATTCTCCAGGCTTTGTCTTAAGTCCCAGAGACCCGGATCACTTTCTGTACCAGAGTGGATTCACTGACAGCCGACTGTCATTAATACCTCTCACCTGGCTTTCTATGCAGCACCTTTCTCCTCATCGCCGGCCTTGGCAGTCTTTAGGAGGCTCTGAGACTGTTTCTGAAGTAAAGTGACTTTCAATACGTGGCTACCGCAGCTGCACAGGAAGACCAGGTCACTGCCCTGGGGTTACTGAAGCTTTACCGTAGGGATCACACAGGATAGACTGGGCTTCTCTCCTGACCGCTCCCTTGCCCTGCCCTGCACAGCTACGGGTAAAAGCTGTAGCAGCTGCCAACACTCATCCTTCTGGACCCATACCAGCCCATTTTTATCCATCAGGCCCTACGAGTTCCTCCACTGCTTCCCCTACACTTTAGGACCTTCTTTTATTTCTGCCATCAAAACCGCTTAAAGTGAGAAGAGCTTATCTCCACCTTCTACTTCCAATGTGAAATGTGATCATTAATAAGCTTCTTCAGCTGGCTGGCTTCTACTGCAACACCTTGCTTTAATGTACTTTGACTGGTGTTAATATTAGAATTTAAAAACAAAACCTCACCAAGGCCCACTTGCCACACTGAGTCCTGATGCCTGGCAAGCAGAGCACCACAGATTTCCAAAAATTTTTAATTCTGAGATGTCCAATTTATCAACTTTTTATTTTATAGTTTTAACTTTATGTGTACTAAAAAAAATCTTTGTTTAACCCAAATTCACAAAGATTTTTCTCCTGTTTTCCATTAGAATTTTTGGTATTATTTAATTTTTTTTGTTTAGAGCTATGATCCACTTAGAATTAATTTCTCTGTAGCATCTTTTATTTAAAAGCACAGCTGCATTTAAAAAAAAAGACTATCCCTGTTGAATTAACTTGGCAACTTTGTCAAAAATCTATTGATCACGTAAGTATATGTTTAGCTCTGGAACACAATTGTATTTGATTTCCTATTGACTTTTTTTTTTTCCTCTGAGTTTGGGTCACACTTTCCTGTGTCTTTACATGTCTAGTAATCTTTGGTTTAAAACTAGGCATTGTATATCAAACAATGTAGTGTCTCTGAACTCTATTTCATGTCTCTGAAGAAAGGGTTAGTGCTCCTGTTTTAATATATTCAATGAACTTGCTTATATTCAAACTGGAAAATCTGTTTCTCGGCAGAGTACTAGAATTTTTACTGTTTTTCCTTTTCTTTTGCCCAGAACTCTGGAGATCTCTCTTGTGCATGCATGGCTTTGTGATCAGGCAATGATTTTCACAGAGGTTATACAGGCAAGTCAAGCCAGTGAAGCTTTTACTGTCTGCTGTCCAATCTGTGTATGAGTTGAAGAATTCATTCAAATTTGCAGCAAATAAGTCAGTCTCCCCAGGCTTTTAATTTTGCTTGTGCTTCCTAGGAAATTCTGTACTCCACGTCATTTAACAGTCAGCCATGAATGCACAGACAGTATATTCTCTCAGCACTTCTACAGCTCTCTTGCTTCCAAAACCTTCCCCTTAAATTTCTAGCTGCTCTGTCTCTCTTTCAAACCACATCAGCCAATTCCAGCCAGTAGACTTATGGATTTTTACCACCAGATCTGGGAGGATGGAAATACCCTCAGGCAAGAACTAACTTATCCAATGCAGCAGCAGCTTTTCATAAGTAAACATTTTCAAGCTATTTGCTGTCTGTAATCATTTTTGAAATGGCTATATTTAATGATTTTGTCCAGTTTTATAGTTTTTTGGAGGGTAGGGGGAGAAATCACCTAACTACCTCAAGCACTCATTACTGGAAGTAGAGTCAACCATCTTTTAGGCAGTTATGAATATGCTCTTTATCACCACTTCATTTATCATTACATTAAATCAAATCAATTATTTCAAAAATTCACCAAAGCAGGAAAAACCTTATTTCTTACAGACATTAAGCTTCAACTTTAATTTCTACATTGTTAGCAGAAACAAAGACATCTAATCAAGGTGGTCATGGTCTGGGAACCCTGTTAAGGTCTTTAAAATATATATTGCCACTGGAAAAACTTTAAATACACAACATTTTATAGACAAGAGTATAGATTCACTTTAGACCTAGACCCCCTGCACAAAAAAAAACCATTATGAACATAGAATATGTTTTCAAATGCAGAGAGTTCATTAGATTTTTGAGAAAATTACCTTAAAGGCTGCTAAGCAGTGCAGGCTCAATAAGGCCATCACAACTGCCAGGAGGACGGTGGCTAAGTTCCGCATGTCCCATATGGTCTCGACCAGAGGAATACTGCCGACCTGCCAGTCGTAGCACAGGGTGACAGGTGCAAGCAGAAGCCACACGTTGAAGGCCAAGAGGTAGGAGTAGGTAAGGAATCTACAAAGAGAAGAAGAATCACTAAACTACAACTCAAGATCCATGACATCTTCCAAACATTCATTTACTGTGTTTTTATTAAATGGTATTTCTCTACTACAATTGTTATCTTGTAGGAGAAGACTAGGGAAGATAGAAATCCATTTCACTCATTTATTCATTAAATTGATTAATTTGGGATATATCTAATAGGTTCTAGCCACTGTGTTAGGTGCTGGCCTTTCAATGGTGAACAAATACTGACATAGTTTCCATGACACATATTTTAAAATTATCATACAAATAAATACATTACAACCTAAGATAAATGCTATGAAGGAAAAGTTTGCTGAAAGCACATAACAGAAATGCTGCCCTGTTTTAGGTATGATTCCCTGGATAACAGACATTTGAACTGTCCTTTCTTAATCTTGTAGTCCAATATGAAAATATTTCATGCTTTTTATAACAGATTGATCCATACTGAATTATTCCAAAAAAATCAAAATATTTGTGGCCAGGTGATAAAATCCCTTATTCATGAATGGAGAGGCTAGCCCTCAAGAGAGGGGAAACATAGCTGTCCTTACTGACAAGAGTAGCCAGGCAGACATAGGGATAATGGATGAAGCTATTATTCCCGTTTCTTGGTTGTGACCAGACACTAAGGCAAAATGGAAGCATTTTACTTGGTGCCCTCCCTTTGGGGATAGAGGAAATTGAATTTGTTCAAATTCGTTCAGTCAACACATTTATTAAGCATTGTTCTAGACCCTTGAGAACTGCAGAACTCTCAGCACATAAAGACTCCATCCAAACCTCTGGGCTAGGAGACGACCCAACTCTAGCATGGCTTCTAGCAGCATAAGGCCATGTCCCCAGGATGACCCCAGCCCCTCATTAAAATGCCTGCCTGAGAAACCTCAGTACTGTCAGCAGAACTTATTCTTTGTTTCAGCCAATGGGGTTGATAATCATATGGCTGAAGTTAAGATTACTAAAACTGGATGATGGCATGTATGTAGAGTTCTTTATGCTATTCCTCTACTTTGTGCATAGTTGAATTTTCTGTATAACCCCCCCCTTTTTTTTTTACTAGGGGAAAAGGCAATAGAATGCAATAGTAATACTTTCTTATTTCTACCTACAGCTTGATTATGGAATATCTGTCAGTGCCCTGCAGAATTTAATATTTCAATTTTAAGTTTCCATTTTCGCCTTGTCCTGCAAGTTGACCTCACTTTCTTTAGATTTTCAGATTGCAATATTGTACAACAAAGGCAACATTAAAAATAATATTTTTAAAGTTCTAATCTCAAATAGTTACACTTTTAAAAAACATTCATTGTGACTTTTTTACACAGATTATAACTAAGATAGGTTAAAAAGTAAAGTAATCTATAGAACCAAACACAACGTTCTCTGCCTGTAACACTAGCAAGGTCAAGACTTCACCTGCCCCAGAGGTTCCCTTTAATATATATATGGTATTGCTTGAAACTCAGAGACATTCTGTATCTTCTCGTGCCATGGTCCCAACCCCAGGTCATGGACAGGTAAGGGTTCATGGCCTTAAGGCAAGCGTAGCTTCCTTTGTATTTACAGCCCTCATGACTGCTCACACCACCACATAAGCTCCGCCTCCCATCAAATCAGCGGTGGCTTTAGATTCTCACAGGAGCACGAGCCTACTGTAAACTGCGCATGGAGGGAGCCAGGCGAGGGATCCATTAGTAGGTTCTGCGCCCCTTATGAGAATCTAATGCCTGATGAGCTGAGGTGCAGCTGAGGCTGTGATACTAGCGCTGGGGAGCACTGCAAATACTTATCACTAGCAGAGAGGTTTGACTGCACAATAAATGTAATACATGTGAAACATCCCAGAAGCATCCTCCCATCCCTGCCCTGGTGGAGAGAAAAATTGTCTTCCATGAAACCGGTCCCTGGTGCCAAAAAGGTTGGACCGCTGTCCTAGTGCATAGGGATTCATGTCAATGTTGCTAACAAACTCGTTAATACTATTTAGCATACTGACATAGCATTGGAAATTTGCAAACTTAAGTACAAAGAACCACTTAGAATCACACCAAAATTAATTACATGGGGGGGGCGTGGTAGTTCAGCCAGCTATAATCAACAACACAAAGTATTCTTTTTAACTCTTAGACTATGAATTACATTCAAGATAATCATCTCATTTATTTCTGTTAAAATTCCAGAAACAAATAAACTGTCAAATATCTTTGCCTGCTGGGTTATCTTTTTAAAAGCAAGAGTGAAAACCAAAATGAATTATTTATCAATTTCTACCACAAATTCTGTGAACAGAAGGAAAGCCACAAGAATATCTTGCCAACAAAATGGAAATACAGCATAGAAACCAGGAATTCGGCTTAAACAATTTAGTCACGCATTTCATTGATAAGCCAGAGGTTTCGAGACAGAAACACATGAAAGGGAATGGGAAGCTTGGGGGCGGTTGGCTGAAACAAAGAATAAGTTCTGCTGACAGTACTGAGGTTTCTCAGCAGCGGCATTTAATGAGGGGCTGGGGTCATCCTGGGGACATGGCCTTAATCTCTTTTCCCCCCCCCCC